TGAAAGTCTTAGAATTCAAGACAAATTATTTTGTGCATGGCCAATAAGGAAATTTGTTTTGATCAACTACACATTTTTCTTGTTCATGATATATTAGGGTAATGGGTACAGAGTTTGGAGTTCAGGAGGTCACCAGAGGAGTTGTCATAGTAATATAGCTCTCTAGTGATGAGGCGGCCTAGGAAAGTGTGCTGGAGGAAATTAGGAAGAAGGGACAGATTTCAAGAGAAATTTCTACTCAAAATCAACAGGATATGGTAATTTAGATATTGGGTATGAAAGGGCTGAATCAAAGACCACATAAGCATTTAAGTGTGAGTGACTAGGATAATGGTGTCAGAATGACCTTTCTTGCCTCCTTGTAATACTCTTCAGTCTTCTGACCTTGTTCTGACCATGTTATGTGTGTAAAACGTTGTTAGTATTTCTCTCCCAAAGGTTTTTGAATCCGGACATCCCTCAGGGCTCTCTTCTGGTCCCTCTTCACTTCCCTTTGAGATGAATGAAAAGTCCAAGAGACATAGTTTCTGGGTAGTTAATAACTAGTTTAGCAAATAATAAATTGAGGTTAGTAGTTTGCTTAGAAACCAAAGACCCCACATGGAGTTCACTTGAGTGTTTACATATCTTTGTAATAGATTCCACCTGAGGGTAGAAATCAATGCTGATTGGTTAACAATTAATGAGGGAATGAATATTATAATGAGAGGCGGGCTTATTCTAATGAGGTGCTGGGGAATGTGACTGATCATGTCATCATTCTTGTACTAAGAGACTCATGTCAAACCAGACCACTCCAGCCTCAGGCAATCTAGACTAGGGAGCCATCTCCACTTAGTCTTACTTGAGTAGAAGAATGGGCTGAAATTCCCCTACATTAGATTCTCTTTACCCTTTAATCAGAAATAAGTTCTTGCAGTTAGGTGGGGTCTAGCCCAGATTGAGGAGAAGGTTTCATTTTCAGCCCTGTTTTTCACAAGGAAGTAAAAAGACTACTAATAACTGACCTACTAATAATTGATTATTAGTAATCAAAAAGAGGATCTTTGGGTTCTGTATATAAAATTGGTTATTAACATAATAAGAAAATAACAATTTTCTCACCTTTGTACTATTACATTTGGTAATCTTATCAGTTCCTTTGGATTCAATTATCCTCTTGATGCAAACCAATGCTAATTTTTCTGCTGATCTCTAGTCTCATCTCCAACTGTTGGACATCTTGAATTGCTTGTTCTGTAGGCATCTTAAATTCGACACATAAAATATGAATTTCTTGTCTTTCCCTCAAAACTCTGTCCTCTTTCCAGCTTCCCTATTGTTATTGAGCATATGGCCATCCTCTCAGTCACTCAGACTTGCAGCCTAGACATCATCCTTGACTCCTCATTCTCTCCATTTCTCCTCCCTCCCCCTTTATATTCAGTCTTTTTTTTAATATCTTTTTTTTTTTCTGTTACCATATCTTATTGATTTTTGTAATATCTCTCATATGTGCACCCTTCTCTTCTCTGACACTGCCACTACCCTGGCACAGGTCCTCATCACCTCAGGGCTGGACTGTTGCAAAAGGCTGCAACGAGTCCCTGTCCCACACCATGCCTCAACCCCTCCCATCTAGTCCATTCTTCACTCTGCTGTCAAAGTGATCTTCCTAAAAGCACAGATCTAACCATGCTACTTCCCTACTCATTGAGTTTGAGTGGTTCCCTAACACCTCTAGGATCATATATAAAATCCTCTGTTTGATATTCAAAGCCATTCATATGTAACCTGCCACCCTCTCCACCCCATCTTTACAGTCTGCTTACATGTTATACCTTTTCTTGACCCCTACCATAATCCCCTATAAACTTTGTGATGCAGGAACACTGGCCTTCTTGTTATTCCTTGTATAAGACATTCTGTCTCCCAGCTCTGGACATTTTCACTCACTCTTCCCTGTGTATGGAAATCTCTTCCTCCTCATCTCTGTGTCCTGGCTTCCCTGGCTTCCTTCAAGTCTTAGCTAAAATCCCACCTTTTACAGCAAGCCTTGCCCGATTTCCCTTAATTCTAGTGCCTTTGCTCTGTTGATTATCTCCAGCGTACCTTGGATGTAGCTTGTTTGTAAATATTTGTTTGCTTGTTGTTTCTCTCATTAAATGGTCAGCTCCTTGAGAGCTAGGATAGTCTTTTGAGTTTCTTTGTTTCTCCATCATTTAGCACAGTGCCTGGCACATAGTAGGTACTTACTAAATATTTATTGACTGATAGATTTCCAGCATTTGGTTTCCTGTTGTATACATTTGTTTTATTACTTTACCTCCTTGCTCTGATATTAAGTATCATAGCCAGAATTCAAACCCAGATTTCTGACTCAACTCCAATATCTATTGTCATGTTGTAAGTTAGGCAATGTGCTAGGAATAAAAAGACAAAAATGATGTAGTCCATGCCCTCAAGAAGTTTACATTTTACTGGAGGGACATAACATGAAGTAAATACAAGATTTTCTTCTCTCTCTATCTCTCTCTCTCTCTCTCTCTCTCTCTGACTCTAGACTAGACCTGTGATTTCATTAGTTTAAAGAACTCATGATGGAAACTCTTTCTGATGATACAAAATCAGCCTCAGCTCTGCAGCTTAGCCACTTAAGAGACTTGACAGGGGTAATAAAAGAGCAAGTGACTTATCCAGGATTATTTGTGGCTGTTATGTGTCAGAGGCATGATTTGAACCCATGTTTGGCCTGATTGAGGCCAAGTCTATCTATTATACTCTGTGTGTGTGTGTGTAGATATGTATATACATGTAGATATGTACATATATATACACTTACACAAATACAAAGTAATTTGGAAGTGTAGCAGAGACTGACAACCGAGGGAATCAGTAAAGGCCCTTTTTACAGGGGGCAGTTGAACAGAACCATAAAATGTGGGCAGAGTGGGAGCTCCAGAAGTCTTGAAAGTGAGAAATGAGAGTATTCTCTGAATGGGGGAGATGGCTCATGCAAATGCAGAAAGGCAGGTATAGAATATCAATTATGTAGCACAGTGCATGAGCTGCTTTGACTGGCATAAAGAATGCATGATGGAGAGTATTGTGGAATCAGCCTGGAGAGAAAGGGTGGGGGTGTGTGTGGAGGAATTAGAGTCTGAGTGCAAAGAGTTTAAAATCTGAAACAGAGGACTTTATATTTTCATAGAGACAATAGGGATCCACTAAGAGTGACATGGTCACACTTTTACTTTAGGAATGGCAATTTGGTTTGTGTATGGAAAATGGATTAGATAAGAAAGAGGCTGGATTCCTGGAAACAATTAGAAGGATCTTGTACTAATCTATGCAATAAGTAATAAGGGCCTGAACTAGGATGGTTATGTTGTGAACGGAGAGAAGGAATTCTGGAGAGAGATATTATAGGTATAGAATCTACAGGACATGATAGCTTAGTTCAATCACATTTAGAAATCTCTTTACAAATGGATGTCTGGTTAGTAAGATGTTGCTTTAAATGAAGTCATTTCGTCTCCCTCCTCAGTATTTGTGATATTACTTAATAAAAAGTGAAAATGTTACAGTTTTACACAAAGTAAACAACAACAAGAATTTTTAAACAAAAATGATATTTCAGTTGAGTGATGATAATGTCAGGGGAAATGATGAAAACCTACTGTTTGTAGACAGTCATTGTTGACACACAGTGGTCTTAAAATAGTTTCATAAAGTACAGGCCACGTTTTTCCTTTTGTTATCTTTTGTGTTCTCCGAATGAGGTGACTTTTTAAAAATTTCATTCCTCTCCATCTACAATTAGGTTAAGGATATAAAATGCCATTGATTATTTCCTAAGACTTCATTTTCAGGCACTGTAAACTCATTAGAGTTTGGTGGAGAGATTTGTAAAAGATTCTTATGCCTGTGACTATTACATTCTAATAGATTGTGTTAAGTTTTCTGGAAATGTTATCTGAGGCTCAAATTTTAAAGAAAGAGCTCAGTTACATGTTGCATTTATTTGATCAAGTAGGGCAGTTAGATTTGATAACAAATTTGGTTTAATATATGAATGTAAAGTGTATCTTAGAATTTGTTTAAATCATAATTTCCTTGAGATTGAAAAGCAGTTGACAGAGATATGGATTGTATTGATTTTCTTCTCAATTTCATAAGATTTCAAAGGAATCTTCTCATACTTTTCCTGAATTCTCACTTTAGTACTCTTTGATATTATTGTTTCTTCCCTATTATTATCCCTGCCAAGCTCAGCCCTAGCTTATTGTGGTGAGGCTGATGTTCTGTCTCCATTGCTGTCAACCTAGTGCTACTTGTGATAAATAGGCTATAGGTCTGAGGTAATTGCTGTTCTGACCTCAATAAGTACATAAAATTTAAATATAGCTAGGAAATTTTCAAGCTGTATTGTGATAAAGAAAAACATTCATATAGAGCTGCACTTAAGGTCTCCCAAAAACCTGTTATTCCATATTTTCCCATAGCTCACCCTCTGTTCTGCTGCTCAGCTCTTAACATCTTCTTAATAATGACATTTTTTCTTTGTCAGGGATACATGAAAATACAAAAGATCTGTAGTTTTGTCAGCACAGAAGTATTCTCTGGAAAGTATGGAATTGCCTTTACCAACACAGATTGCAAACTGTGACTTATTGGTTAACAATAATCTTAGTTGCTTAAGAAGTTAAATGACTTACTCAAGATTATACAGCTAGTAAGTCTCAGAAATTGTATTTGAACCCAGCTGTTCTCAACTGTAAGTCCAGCAATCTTATCTACTATCCAACAAAATTTTCATTAAAATGGGAAAAGGTATAGAACAGAGAGAGCAGAAGTCAAAAGCAGCTTTTAACTTTAGTTGTGTGCTTATGGCTTATTAATAGCTCCAGTAACCTCTGGGACTTTCTGAAGCAGTTTAGGCTCTGTATTTAAGAAAGACTATGATAGTGAATTTATGTAAGCACTTTTTTGATCTGGTTCTTTGTTCATGTCATCTGCAGAACCTTGCATCCTGGGATCCCTCTAATCCTGACTGCTTTCTGCTTGTGGTAAAGGAGCTTGTGCAGCAGTATCACCAGTTTCAGTGTAGCCGCCTCCGTGAGAGTTCTCGTCTCATGTTTGAGTACCAGACATTACTTGAAGAACCACAATATGGAGAACACATGGAAATTTATGCTGGAAAAAAAAATAACTGGGTGAGTCTTCAGGAGAAATATACTGTTAGCAAAAACTTAAAAAAGTATTTTCAGAAATCCTTTCTTAGTAAATATTAGTTATCATATTGGATATAGTACTGGACGTGGTATCAGAAAGACTTGAGTTCAAATTCAGCCTCAAGACACTTAATAACCATGTGACCCTGGGCAAGTAAGTTAACATTTCCTAGCTTCATTTTCCTCATCTGTAAAAAGGGGAAAATAATAGCATTTATTTCTCAGGGATGGTGTGAGAGTCAAATGAGATAACATGTATTTACAACTATGTTTCTTTAGAGTGGGGAGGTTCTTAACTTGGGTTCTGTGAACTTTTTTTTAGAAGTAGTTAAAAAATTGTTTTGCTTTGTAATGTTCTTTATTTTATTTTATTCATTTTAAGCACATTATTCTGAGAAGGGGTCCATAGGTTTCACCAGATTACAAGAATGGTTCCTGACACACACATACCCATCAAGATCCAGAAGCCGTGTTTTAAAGAGGCTGATGTTTCAAGATCCATAATAGTACAAAATCAGTGACGAGATTATTTCTATTTAGAAGGCGTGTTGTACTAGCAGATATCTTGGTGTCATTGAAAGCGCTGCAAGTTTATATGACATGTTTGTTCAAGATCATTTAAATTTATTAAATGACTGCGTGTATAAGAGCGATTTTTAACATCCTTATATTCCTGATGATAACACTACCAGGATTAAAGAGTCCTTTGCACACAAATAGTGAACTCATACATGCCATTATAGGTTGTGTGCAGAAACAGGAGCAAAACCTAAAAGACTTGTACTCTGTAGTTACTGAGTCTTTAAGAAATAACACTTTCTGGCTTAGAAAACTGTGTGCAAATATAGAAATTATTGTTTTTATTGTTCTGAAACCTCAGTGTTGGTTTGTCATGCTTTGTGTTTTGATTCATTCCAGTTAAATATAAGACTTAGGAAAACTAAACATATTTGAAAAGCAAAATCACGTCATTTATTAGAGGGCATTAAATTATTATAATTGATGTGTTAGGTAAACACATTTGTTTGAAATATAAACAATATAATTAATGACTGATAATTTTTCTTTGCTATGCACATTAGCCTAATAGTGACATATAGATCAATAGTTGTGCAATAAAAGGTCAAAAGCTAATTATATTTGCTTCAGTTTGACAGTTATTTATTCATCTATGTTGTTTAATTCATTATTCTGGGGTTGAGGATCTCATGGCAAACATGATACAAAAATGACTAAGAAGTCCCTGCCTTGCAGAGGAATGAGCATTTATATAGTACCTGCTGTGTGCCAGGTACTATGCTAAGCACTTTATAAATATTTTCTGCTTTGATACTCTGCCCTGTGAGGTATGTACTGTTATTTCCTTATTTTACAGTTGAGGAAAGGAGTCAAACAGAAGTTGAGTGACTTTCTCAGAGTCACACAGCTAGTAAGTGAGGCTAAATTTGAATTCAGGTCTTTCTGACTCCAAGCCCTGTGCTTTATCCACTTTGCCACCTACCTGCCTGTTCTGAGAAGTTAATGTTTTAGAAAAGGTAATAGAAGGACACTGGTCCTTATAGTAAATATTAGAATCTGTTAAATATGTAAGATCATTCAGTAACACTTTGGGGAGGAGAAATTACTTATAATGAGGTGAATAAAGGAAGACTAAATTGAGAAAGCTATTCTTGAGCTGTTCGTTGACAGATGGATTTTAATAGGCATGGAGTTAGAAACAATTAGCTAGGAGTAGGGTGGGCTCCAGGTATAAGGGATGGAATAACCAAAAGTATTGAAATGGGAAAGGACAGAATTTATTTGGTAAACAGAAAGTAGTTCAGTTTTATTGGAATAAAGAATTGTGAAGGGGACTAGTGAGAGATAAAACTGAAAAGATGAGAGAACATTGTCTCCAGAAATTCAGCTTCCTGCAAGATCAAATTAACTCTGAAACTCAATGTTTCTTTTGTACCACTCCCCACCTCCTTGCACTTCTCTCTCCCCCTAACTGTAGTGAGTTGTGGGTAGACATTGAGAGCTCCTCCCAGATCCTCTTTGTAAGGGAAGGTGCTCAAGGTAAAGAAAACATTATTCCCCCTTAGCTGTATGATTTCATCATACTGCTGTGTCAGTATCCTTCCTTCCCTTCCCTTCTGCCTCCCCCTTCATTTTCAGCTTTTTTTATGTTGTTCTCCCTCATTAGATTTTGAGTTTCTTGAGGACAGGAACTATATTTGGTTTTCCTTTGTGTACCCAGTGTTTAGCATAGTACCTCACACACAAGAGCTTAATAAATGTTTATTGACTGAGTGTTGAATACCATAATTAGGAATTTGAATTATATTCAGTAAATATTGGGGAGCCTGTGAAAGTGTTTTAGGGGGAAATGATGGCAGAATTTATTATTCTGCTTCAACTATTCAGTTCTTAAATATTCAAGTGGATTTGTAATCTCATTAATTTAAGAGCTCTCTCCAACAATGCAAATCACGGTCCATTTATACCTGCCTGTCCTATGAAACTCTTGTCTATGTCCTTCCAAAAGTTCACCTGAGGAGTTCTGTTATGTGAAGACCCCTCCTTTTTTTCTCTTTACTTTCGAATTCATTTAGCCACAAAATACAGTAAAAAATTTAAAACTAATTTCTTTTCATAGCAAGAACTGACCATATAAAAATGTGGTACAGTACAATGCCAAATTTTTGTTAGAAAATAATGGGTTTTAGTTTTGTCCCTGCAAATTACTACTAATACTTCTGCCGCTGCCATTGTCACTGCTTGACAAATGTCAAATGACAAAATTTAGGATTTAGATTTTAATAAGTGCTTTACTACATTTTCTCCTTTGGTTAGTTCCTGTGTTAATGACTTAGGGCAAATTTCTTAAATCTTCTTTTCAAATGAAATGGGAATAAATGAGATAAAGCACTTTGTAACCTAAAACATAATAATAGTAGTGCGAACATTTAAGTAATGCCTTAAAATTTAAAAGGCATTTTTCGTACTTGATCTCATTTGATCAGTTAACATGCTTTTTTCTTTTTTTTTTTTTTGGTGAGGCAGTCAGGGTTAAGTGACTTGCCCAGGGTCACGCAGCTAGTAAGTGACAAGTGTCTGAGGCCAGATTTGAACTTAGGTCCTCCTGACTCCAAGGCTGGATGGAGCTCTATCCACTGTGCCACCTAGCTGCCCCTAATATTCTCTGTAGTCTAGACTTCTATTTATTCTAGATGCGTTCCACAGATAGTACTTATTACCAGGAGTTACCTAGATAAGCATAATCTGGGGCCTTTCTGACTGGAAAGTTGTTTTTTTTTTAAGGAAAAATTGACTAGATTTTCAACTCCTTAGGTAGTGGGGCCAGTAATCAAAAGAACATGAGCTAGAAATCTGGAGACCTGAGATCATATTCTTACTGTATTGGAGGCAAGTCACTTAGGCAAATGCTGTAATCAGTTTCTTATCTATGAAAAGAGAATTATAATAATTTGTCTGCCTTAATTTTATGAAGATCAAATAATATGAAACAAGACAGAGGAAAAGCACTATGCAAATGAAATATATGCTTATTTTCTACCTTCTTTAATGTGGAGCACTATGAACACAGTAGGTATTTAACATAAGGCCATTTGCCAACTGACTTACTGTGTAATTTCCTTGAAATGACTTTTTTCTTTTTTACAGGCATTTGGGGTTAAGTGACTTGCCCAGGGTCACACAGCTAGTGAGTGTTAAGTGTCTGAGGCCAGATTTGAACTCAGGTCCTCCTGACTCAAGGCTAGTGCTCTATCCACTGCGCCATCTAGCTGCCCCTGAAATTACTTTTGAATAAAACAAAATGCCATGAAATGTCCTGGTCAAGTTGGAGATAAATTTATGTTTATATTCAGCAAGCATTTAATAGAGTGCCTTAAGTGCCTACCTCCTATGCTAGGTTTTGTGAACGTCAGGTTAAAATAATAATACTTCATCTCATTGACCCATACAATAAGTTTATGAGGGAGGGAGGGAGGGAGGTAAGATGTATTAGTCTAATTTTGTAGATGAGAAACATGAAGCTTATAGAAGTTAAATAATTTTACCAAGTTTTCATATTTGGTGAACAGCAGGGCTAAGATTTAAACTAGCGCTTCTGAACATATCCAGTGCTATATAAATATTAAATAAGAGAGCTCAGTTTTGAATCCAGTCCTTTTGATTCTAAATGAAGAGCTCTTTCTGCTGCCCCAAGTTGCTTCTGACATTTAGATCTGAAAGATCTTTTAGCTGCTGCCCTAGATCACTCACATTCCTTTTCAGGGGCCATCTAATCCAACTCATACTGGAAAAACAGTATACCTGGTGATTTGTGATCTCGCCTATCTTTGAAGACCTCCAAAAGAGAGAAACCCCGTGCCTCATAAGGCAATCAGTTCTAGTTTTGAGTAGCTCTAATTGTTAGGAAATAGTTGTTGGGTTTTTTTACATTGAGTCTAAATTAGCCGCTTTGAAAATTATTCCTTCTGCCTCTGCCTGTGTCAGTTGTTCCTGGTTGTTCTCTCTGAAACCAAAGAGAAAAAGTCTAATCTCTCTTGCATATGAGAGTCCTTCGAATACTTGAAGAAATCTATCATAGCCTCTCTGAGTCTTTTTTCCAGGCTAAAATCTCTATTTCCTTTCTGTAGTATTAATTTGAGGCCCTTCACTATTTTGATTATTTACCTCTGCCTGCCCTCCAACTTTTTAATGTCTTTCCTAAATTGTGTCACCCAGAATTTAATGCATTACTGTAGTAGCGATATGCTTAGGGTAGAGTACAGTGTAGTTCTTATCTTGTTTTTTCTCAAAACTCTGCCTCATGATTCACTAAAACACTGCAATGTTTTTCCTAACAGGCTTCTGTCTAAACATGCCTCCTTTGTCTTATATATGTGAAGTTGATTTTTTGAACTCAATTATAAGACTTTACATTAACCTCAGTAAATTTCATCATTTTAGATTTGACCCAGTGTTCTAGCCTG